TGTCTCAGGACATCTGAGATGTCTCGCTTTTTTCATTCTCTTTTATCAAACTGCCTGAGCCTAATGGGCAAAAGAACTGTGTGGTCTAGTTTGTCAGAGAAGAGTTCAAATAAATGGAAAGAATGTTTCAAATACCTCTGCTATTTTAACACAGAAATTCAAGATTGCCCAAAGTTTGGGTTATTTCTAAATCATTCTTTTCAAAGAGAAAGACCTAACTACTTCCAAATAATTGGGAACATGTTATTTCATAATCAGATTTCTAACTTTGGTGGTATAAATTTGTTCTGCTAATGCGATGAGGGGCTTCCCCAGTGGCTTAGATGGCAAATTAAAAGAAACAGAGTTATGTCTCTAGACTTAATCAGGGCACAATGGTGAGAAAGCAGAAATAACATAACAGCAAAATAGAAAATATATTCCATTCATCTGCCACCAACAACACGTTGCCTATCAGTGTTACTATAATAAGAACTAAAGGTTAATTTAAAAAAGAATACTCAGGAAAAACACAAAAGCTTTTGGGTTTTCATTCAGGTACATTCCACACTAAATTATAACCCTGAATTAAAATTCTCAAAAGCTTTCATTTTCCAGGTACTCACAATTGGGCTTGAGAAAAGCCTGTAGTCTTGTGGCCATTCCTTGCAATAGCAACTGTCAAAGATTTGCTTGTGAGTCCTTGTTCAGTCGCTCAGTGGTGTCTGATGTGTTATGATACAAATTATTCATGGCACATACAACTCACCGTGGGGCTTCAGCGTAGCGGGTCGCCAGGCTGAGCCAGGCCCCAGCACAGGAAAGCAGGTCCAGGGTCCAGAAGAAAACCTTTCAGGGGAGGTGCTCAATCCTGAATAGGATTCAGTTTAGGGACATTAACACTTAGGTTACCTCTTAGAGGATGCTGGGAGTTTTCCAGGCAGTCAGGAGAGAACAACGTGTGCAGAGAAGATGAACAGAAATAATCACAAATGACTCTGTATACCTAAGACAAAGAAGTGTTAGGATGTAAGAGAAGGTGAGGGTGATTTACAAGGTTGAGATTAGGAGCACTTCTGTACACCATTTCAGAGGCTTTGAATTTCGCACATAGGAACTGAAGAAACACTGAAACTTCAAAAGGGGAGGTTGGTGTTTGAAGGAAGACCCCCCTGAAGACAGAAGGCTTCTCAGGGGGCTTATATAAATGGCCCCAATAAGACCTAATTTTTTTGTTTTTTAATTTTAAAGTTTACTTTATTACTTTTCCGGCTTTATTGAGAAATAATTGACATACATCCCTATTTAAGTTTAAGGCATACAGCATGACAGTTTTGATTGATATGTGTTGTGAAATGATTACCACAGCAGGCTTAGCTAACATTCATCTTATTCACCATTTTCTTATCTCATGAATGATGCTTTGAATACTTCATAAGGCTTTAGAAGATTCCTGTATCTCTGACTGAGCTGTGCTCATTCTAATGACTGTGAGCAGAACTGTAGCAGTCTCGTTATTTTTCTTCACTTTCTTTTGTGGGAGTATAGTTAGCTTCTTCACACTGTTGTGTTCATTTCTGCAGTACAGCAAAGTGAATCAGCCACGTGTACGCACATATCCCCTCTTTTCTGGATTTCCTTCCCGTTTAAGTCACCACAGAGCACTGAGTGGAGAGTTTCCTGTGCTGTATAGTAGGTTCTCATTAGTTATCTATTTTATACATAGAGCCTTGTCCTGGTAAAGGGGCAGGAAAATGTCTCCCGCATTGCAGGTGGATTCTTTACGGCTTGCAATAACTCAATGAAGCTATGAGCCATGCCATGCAGGGATGCCCAAGACAGACAGGTCATAGGGAAGCGTTCTGACAAAATGAGGTCTGTTGGAGAAGAAAATGGCAACCCACTCCAATATTCTTGCCTGGCAAACCCCATGAATGGTATGAAAAGGTAGCAGTCCATGGGATCACAACAAGTTGGATACAACTTAGCAGCTGAACAGAAACAAAGCGAATATGAGACCCAAATTTTTAAAAAAGTATTTCCTGTTGCTTTTATAGAAGTACAATGGAAATATCTATATTACTGGTGGTTACTGTTTCATTGAGGTACTGAAGGGTAATTGTCATATGCGTGGGTGCGTGCTTTAGTCATGTCCTACTCTTTGTGATCCCTCGGACTGTAGCCAGCCAGGCTCCTCTGTCCGTGGGATTCTCTAGGTGAGAATACCGGAATGGGTTGCTGTTATGGTGTTTGCAGACTGGGACCCAGGGACGAGAGTCAACGAAGAGAAAATGATGAAAAGAAGGACGTGGGGGACCCAATTCTCGAGTGAAACAAGGGTGCTTTATTTTAGGCAGCGTGTGCTTATATATTGTTATACAAGGAAGCTTTAGGCAGAAAATAAAGTTGAGCAAGAACACCGAAACCAGACTTATAAGAACAGTAACTAAGGAAATAAAAATCATCATAGGGCCATAACAAGAGTAACTAGGGGCATAACAATGTCACAGGGCCAGAAGACAATCCATATCTTGAGAAATAGGAACACGACTAAGTAGTTTTACAGAAAAGTAAAAGGTTACGGAAAGGAATCCACGTATGCGCTCCGTCTCATGACCTCAGTCCTGAGAACTGCCTGCAGCTCTTCTCGTTCCTGTTTTCCAGGAACTGATAGGGAACAGAGGGCCTTTGAGAAACAGAAAACAACATATAGGATTCCTTAAAATGAAACGTTCCCTGACTTGGTTGCCATTTTCTGCTCCAGGCGATCTTCCTGATCAGGGATCAAACTGGAGTCTCCTGTGGTTCCTGCATTGCAGGCGGATTTTTTACCCCCCGAGCCACTAGCAGAGGCCTATAATTGCTACATCAACAATGATGTGCTGCGCTGTGCTTAGTCGCTTGGTTGTGTCTGACTCTTTGGGACCCCAGGGACTATAGCCCACCAGGCTCCCCTGTCCATGTGGATTCTCCAGGTAAGAATACTGGAGTGGGTTGCCATGCCCTCCTCCAGGGGATCTTCCTGACCCAGGGATCAAACCCAGGCCTCTTGCACTGCAGACAGATTCTTTACCATCTGAGCCACCAGGTAAGCCCATTAACAATGACAGATCAAAGGAAAACAGTAAAGCTCTATTTGATCAGCAGTGCTTGGTGTGTTCCACAGAACAGAGTGACTCAGAGATGGAGGAGTGAAGGGTGTTTCTAAATTCATGTTTGGGGAAAACTGGGACTGATGGTACTATTAGCTCCACACACACTTCATCCCTCACTCTCATCTCCATGACCTAAACCAGATGGAATCTAAGATACCACGTTGCAATGGAGAAAAGTACATAATAAATGGAAGCATAGTGAATTTATTTCAAATAGTAAATGCTCAAGCACAAGACCAAATGTATCATAAAAGGAAGGACAGTGGCAGTTAGATGAATCAAAAATACCGAGTCCAGGGACTTCCCTGGTGGTTCGGTGGCTAAGACTCCATGCTCCCAGTGAAGGGGGTGTGAGTTCAACCCCACATGCCACAACTAAAAAGTGTGCATGCTGCGATGAAGATGAAAGATTCCACATGCTGTAACTAAGAGCTAGGGCAGCCAAATAAATTTCAAAATAAATTTTTAGAAAAAAAAACATTGAGTCCATTTTTACTAAGTAAGAATATTGAGTAATGTTATATGATTGCAAAGAAATGTTACAAGATGGTGAAATGTACTGAAGGAAAATATTATTGTAACACAACATTTAAAAACTGCAGATAAACAAGGACTATAACCATCATTTCATTGCAAGAAAACTATGCATGCCATGGCTGACAAAAGTGGCCCTTATTTTTCTCATGTAATTGGCTCTCTTTTTGTCATGTTATTCTGCCAGCTAAACAGCCCACTGAGATGTTTCCTGAAGGTTTGCCACAGGCTGAGCCTGATTATTTTTCCAAGTGGAAACAACTTGCTTGACCTATATATCTTGACTTATAAAAATTTGTTACAACACATTCCTAAAGTGTGGAGTGGGGAACTGTGACAATTTCCTCAATTATAACACAATGTGAAAGTGAAAGTGAAGTCGCTCGGTCGTGTCCGACTCTTTTCGACCCCATGGACTGCAGCCTCCCAGGCTCCTCTGTCCTTGGGATTTTCCAGGCAAGAGTACTGGAGTCGGTTGCCATTTCCTTCTCCAGGGGATCTTCCCGACTCAGGGATTGAACCCGGGTCTCCCGCATTGCAGGCAGATGCTTTACCCTCTAAGCCACCAAGGAATACAATGTAATGGGATCTAAAATGGAAATATTTTGGTTCATGTTACATAAATGGCAAGAGTATAGTAGAGGTTCAGCTCTGTACTTACTATTAAAAATTCAGCCGGCCCACCGCTTCCCGCTGGGCTGCTCCTCGGCCTCCACGGGCCCGCCTGCGCCAGCAGCACCCCTGGGATCTGCGTCCCCAGCCTTGCCCCCGTCCGCCTGCAGCGCCCGGCGCCCGCCCAGGAGCGCGCGGCAGGGGTGCTGGGGATATAACGGTGAGCAAGAGAGACCACGGCCCTTGTTCCCGCTGATCCTGCAGCCCAGTGGATGGAGTCCACAGTACCTAGACCTGCCAGGAAAGACAGAAATTTTCCTGATGGTTGGTCCAAACAGGGACTCCCGGGTGGACTGAGGGATGGCTGGCTTTTCCTCAGTTCATGCATCTCTGTGGTAGCCACAGGCAGCCCCCAGAAGACCTGGAGAATGAGAGCCCTGAGGTCTACAGGTTGCTGCTAGAAATATTTTAGCCCCTCCAGAAAACAGAATGCAGCTGCCACACAAGTTTGTAAGGACTCTGGGCGCCCGCTGACCGCGCGCTGGCCGCCTCGCACTTCGCTCCAGGTGGCCGCCCGGGGCGCTGCCATAGCAACCCCCTGGACGCCCAGACCTTAGGCCGCCGCCGCCGGGACCCGGCCTTCTCCCGCTCCCCAAGGGTGGGGCGGCGGCGGCCCGGGAGGCGGCCCGGGCCGGGAAGACGGGACTGCCCCCTCCCCCGATGCCAGCGGAGGCCGCGGATTTGCTTCGGAGCATGCCCTTTCAGAAGCACGTCTACTACCCGCTCGCGGCCGCCGGCGGCCTGGAGGGACCCGACGCCTCCGCAGCGGCCGCGGCGGGCGGGGCCGCCACGGCCTGTGGCCCCCCCAGCGCGGCGTCGGGCCCCCTGCCCTTCTTCCAGTTCCGCCCGCGGCTGGAGAGCGTGGACTGGCGGCGGCTGAGCGCCATCGACGTGGACAAGGTGGCGGGCGCCGTGGACGTGCTCACGCTGCAGGAGAACATCATGAACATCACCTTCTGCAAGCTGGAGGACGAGAAGTGCCCGCACTGCCAGTCGGGGGTGGACCCGGTGCTGCTGAAGCTCATCCGCCTGGCGCAGCTCACCATCGAGTACCTGCTGCACTCGCAGGAGTTTCTCACCTCGCAGCTGCACGGCCTGGAGGACCGGCTGCGCCGGAGCCTGGCTGAAGGCGAGCACAGCAAGAAGCTGCTCACCAAGCAGGCCGGCGAGATCAAGCTGCTCAAGGAAGAATGTAAACGCAGGAAGAAGTTGATCTCCACCCAGCAGCTGATGATCGAGGCCAAAGCCAGCTATTACCAGTGCCATTTTTGTGACAAGGCCTTTATGAACCAAGCTTTCCTACAAAGTCATATTCAGCGCCGCCACCCTGAAGATTCGCATCTTGCAGAGTATAAGACAAGGGCGCAGACGGACAAGCTCCAAAGTGAGATCGACATGTTGAAGGAGCAGCTGCAGCTCACCAAGTCTCAGCTCGAGGCTGCACAGCTCGCCCATGCAGTCAGGTTCTCTAAGGAATATGAAATGCAGAAAACAAAAGAGGAAGAATTTCTGAAGTTATTCGATAGATGGAAAGAAGAAGAAAAGGAGAAACTAGTTGATGAAATGGAAAAAGTCAAGGAAATGTTTATGAAGGAGTTTAAAGAACTGACTTCTAAGAACTCAGCATTAGAATATCAATTGTCAGAAATCCAGAAGTCCAATATGCAGATCAAGTCTAACATAGGCACGCTAAAAGATGCACATGAGTTTAAAGAAGAACGTCCACAGCATCCCCAGGATTTCCAAAATGTGATGCAGCTACTTGACAATCAGGAAAGCAAGTGGACAGCTCGTGTTCAGGCTCTTCATCAAGAACACAAGAAAGAAAAGAGCCGGGGAGTCTTTTAACCTGGCAAACTTTTGAATCTAAGCCAACTGCCCCAACTGTACCGATGAATACTCCAGCCCCCCAGACACTGGATGCGAAGTCAAGTCTAACAATGGCACATGAACAGGCATTCTCATCGCACATACTGGAACCAATAGAAGAACTTTCAGAGGAAGAAAAAGGAAGAGAAAATGAACAGAAATTCAATGACAACAAGATACATATAAGGAAAACTTTGAAGAATAACCCTTCCCTCACTAAAGAAATAAGAACTGTCTTGGAGCAGAGTTTGGTGGAGAAACTGGAAACCTTGGGGATTAATGCAGATATACGTGGTATTTCAAGTGATCACTTGAATAGAGTGCTAAGAACTGTGGAATCAACAAGACACGAGCGAGAAAGACAAATACCTAACATTCAGCAAATTCGAGAATTCCTTAAACATCAGGTCAGCTGTAAAATTGAAGAGAGAACACTGCTGTCCACAGACAGGTACGGTGCTTCTCAAATGAACACCCTTTCAACTGGAGAACTACCTAAAGCAATACACCTTCCTCCCAAAAGCAGACAGCTGATTAGACAAAGACCTGTTTTTTCTGATAGAACATCTGTTCCAAAAGTTAAGAAAAATGCCACAGAAGATCATTTTCCCAGGAGGTCTTCCACTATTGCGACTCCTCCCTTCAGTTCCGAGGAGGAGCTGGATGCTGACGACCTCATCCAGGCGTTCGCCTCCCCAGACGTACTTCCTGTGCTGGCTTCTAAAAGCAACAAGAGTAGTTTCGTAAAGAGCACCGTCAAAAGCGACACTGACTGGACGGAGGGAAGTGAAATTGAGGACTCTGATATTTCCCCCAAGCCCACAGGAACCTCCATTAAAACATTAACTGGAAAAGTTGAAAAGACGGTTTCAAATCATAGAAATATGAATAAGCCACTTGGTGGAATTAATGTTGCTGACACGTTCATCAAAAAAGAACTAAAAGAAGATCTAAAGTGTACAGATGTGGATGATGATGACTGGGACATATCATCCTTAGAGGAAGACAGATCTATAGGGAGAAAAGCTGAGAGAGAACAGAAGGAACCTCCTCCACCTGTGAAGAATGAGTCAAATTCTACTCAAGTGCCAAATGCCTGGGGTGCAGCTAACCCGAAAGGACCAAAGGGAGAAGGACCTCAGGATGAGTCCAGTACATTGAAAAGCAGCTTAGTAACTGTGACTGACTGGAGTGACTCTTCAGATGTGTAACTGTCACCCTGTGCGTCAGGAGGTCCGTCCAGACTTCAGCAGTATTTGATATCGTGGTATTTCAGCACTGCCTACACAACTGTAATTGTCCTGCCTCACAGTATCTCCTGTAATAACAAGGAAACTGGTTCTCAGAGAACAAGAGTCTCTTTAATGCCACCTAATGCAGTGTTAAAAAAAAAACACACACAAATTGTCAACAGTATTTTGAAGCATATAAAAGTGTTTAAGAATGCTGCTGCTGCTTAAAAATAATGTGTCACTGAAGTCATAAAAAGTTTTTTCTTCAGAACAGTACTCTAGTGTTTAGGTGTATTTTTTTCAACTAATTTTTAAGTGAATTTTTTTTTTAACTGATTGCAGGTTTTAGTTTGCATTTAAACTTAAAAAAAAAAATCTTTCTTATGTACATTGTCATGTTGGAAGTGTTTTATTATAGAAGTTCTGTTAGTATCCTTAAAATGGAATTGGTGGAAATCAGTGAAAATTTAAGAGTAGACAGCTTATTTTTCATCTAGAAGTAAGTTTCGAGTTAATAAAAATATAGCTAGGCCCATATTAACTACATTTTCCAGAAGTACTTTTCCCATATGCAGCTTTGAGCCACTGTAAGCATGTTTTAGAACTTAAAATACTATTTCTGTAGCATAACCTTGACCTTGGATATTTTATGAATAAAATGTAGCCATTTTAAATATCAGTTAATTTATCAGACTATGAATAGAATAGAGTCCATACTGAATTCATATGTGTCTGTAGTTTCTTTTTACTTTTTTAAAATGCCCTTTCCACATTAGAAAATACCTCAAAACTAATTTATATTCTTAACAGTGACATTATCAATAGTCAACATGTTCATATAAACTAAACTGTTTTTTGCATTTTTTTATACCTTGTGGTACTGTTGTTTCCCCCAAAAAAGTAATATTTTAACTAAATGGTCTGTTAGGATTTGGACCTCTTTGTTTTGTCAGCCTTTCAAGTAAAACCCTCAGTGACAAAAAAAAAAAAAAATAAAATAAAAAAAAATAAAAATTCATCATCAGCAGAAATAATGGCTGTGTTTCATTATTATCATTTTTAGTCTCACTGTTGGTGATCTTAAGCACAAAGTCAGTTAAGCACATATTAGACAATTTACGATTTCTTAGCACTTAAAAGAAAGGATTACATTTGAATTATTTACTCAGGTGTGTCAAGAAAAAAAAAAAGATTAGACTTGCTTGCTCATGACTAGTAATTCAATATAAAAAAAAGGAAAACTTTTTCTTCTCAAGCATCGAGGATGACAGAAACATTCCAGCGCCTACTATGGTTCACTGTGAAAAATAGTGTGTTTACATCAATAAAAAACTAGACTAATGTTTCTGATGACTGTTTCTCAGGAGTAAGATAATCATCACAGCTTTATTTCCAGTGAGACACACTTGTAGGGTTTGTGAGTCTAAAACCAACTTGCCAAGATCCAGGGGCACAGCGTCATGTATCAAGACTAACAACTGGGACTTCCCTGGTGGTCCACTGGGTAAGCATCCACCTGTCAATTCAGGGGACGTGGGTTCAATCCCTGGTCTGGGAAGATCCCACATGCTGCGGTCAACTAAGCCCAAGAGTTACAACTATTGAAACCTGTGCACCCAGAGTCCACAACATACTCCACAACAGTAAAGAAGAAGCCACAGCAAGGAGAAGCCCTCACACGCACGGCAGCTAGAGAGTAGCCCCCTGTCTCAGCAGCTAGACAAAGCCTGTGTGCAGCAAGAAGACCCAGCACAGCCAAAAATAAAACAATAATCAAAACCAAAAAAATAAGACTAACAAGAGGTCCACGTTGTAAGTCTTAAATAGCAAGACTATAACTGTGCTGAAAAGGATGAAAAACACATTTATTGACTGCAGTGACCTACTGTAAGAAGGGAATTTAAAAATAAATCATTTTAATGATCTTTGCTGGGTGTTTTTCTGCTTTTTGAAAACAACTTTCTGTTAAACACGTATTTTCTAATGATCAATAAAGTGTGCTGTTACTATCTTACATTCTTTACAACAGAAAGAATACATACACATGAAATATTTGAAAGTCGGAAAGTGCCTTTTGTAGAGTACTATGGTTATAGAAGGGTTTATATGCTAGAGAAAGTGTGTATCATCTCCTAAGATGGTTTCATATTCACGAGACAGTCAACATCTCATTCTCCAGCTGCCACTGGACCCCTGGGCATTTCTAATGCTTTTCTTCATTTGACAATATGCTCAGTTGTGTCTGACTCTTTGCGACCCCATGGATCGTAGCCCCCCAGGTTCCCCTGTCCATGGGATTCTCCAGACAAGAATACTGGAGTTGGTTGCCATTTCCTTCTCCAGGGGATCTTCCTGACCCAGGAATCGAACCTGTGTCTCTTGCATCTCTTCACTAGCAAGAGGATTATTTATCATTGCACCACCTAAGAAGCCTTAATATTATATTGGAAACTTAAAATCGAATCCTCAGTGTGATAGAATTGGAGGTTAAATGTAAATCTAGTGGCTGCTCACACTAAGTCGACAAAAACCTCTCTTTACCACTCTCCTCAAAAGCCTTCCTGTCACTTGGAGCAGGAGTCACAGTCGTCACAATAAATAACCTGTGCGCCCTGTGCCTCCTCAGTCCTGCTCCCACTCACTGGCCCCAGACAGGCCTCCTTGCTGCGCCCCCACCTCAGGGTCTTCACAGGTTCTGTTCCCTCTCCTGAGAACACGCTTCCGTAAGTGTCCCCTGGTCTCTGGCACACACGGAGCTCCCGCACTCTCAGGCTGTTGTTCAAATGCTACCTTCTTAGAGAGATACCCTTAGCCATCCTTACAAACACTGTATCATCGCCAGAAATTCCCTAAATCGCTTCGCTCTTGTTTTGTTCACAGCACTTAATGATGTATATCTCTGCAGTTTCCTTTGTTTATGGATTTATTAATCCCCCGTCTTCTCTTTCTCCCCACTAGACCTTGAGCTCCACGAGGATAGGTTCCGATTGCTTATCCAGTGCTTGCCACCCTAGAGCCTACACAAGTGCCTTGTATCCAATCAGGTTTTTTTTTTTTTATATGGAGTATAGATGCTTTACAATTTTGTGTTCATTTCTACCACACAGCAAAGTGAATCAGCTATACGTGTACATAAACCCCCTCATTTCTGGACTTTCTTCCCTTTTAAATCACCACAGAGCACTGAGTTCCCTGTTATAGAGTACGTTCTCATTTGTTATCTATTTCATACATGGTAATGAGCGTGAGGGTTAATTTCATATCAAGGGAAATATCTTTTTTTTTTTTTTTTTTACCATTCAATAATATCTGCCTCTGAAGGCGCATCTTAGAATGCAAGTTATCACCAGCACATCAGCTTGCAGCGACTGTGCTCATCCTAACCCTATTCTGCCTGAGGCCCTGCAACATCTCCCACATTATCCTGTGGTCCACACTGAAATGGGACAGCACAAAGCCTTACTGGTAAAATCCCACCACCCGGTTCTGGTGACTCAGCCCTGGCATTACATTGGAAGTTAGCATCAGTGCTGTGCATGGAACTGTTTCAAAGGCTGAATGCAGTAATCCAAGCCAATATTCAATCAACACACTATTTAAACAAAAGGTGGGTACTCTCATCTCCTCACAAATATGTTTTTATTGATTCTTCTCTTTTTTCAAACTTCGTCCTTTTATTTCAGTACTACAAAATGGACTTTAAGCTGTTAATTTGGAAGGATGTTCTTTTTTCATGTCATTTTAAAATTGTCTTATGAAACAATATCATATTTACTCAGGCATACCAAATGCCATAGTCAGAACAGTTTAAACTGGTGTTTATTTTAAAATAGTTTCTGCTCTGTTCTCCAGATGATTCACCTGACTTTGCTTCTTACCCGTCAATACCACTGACCTTTTGACCAAATTTAGTTGTGGTTCTGGACTTCCAGTGAAACTTTTTATGTAAATATACACACTCAGAATTATTCAAACTATGGACATGATATAATTAAAGTGCACACATAATGTGACTTTTAGATATCTTCCACTTGGATTGGGCATTAAGATATCTGTCTAGATAAAAAGAAACATCTTTAAACAGAGCAATGTGCATTTCACCCTGAAAGTGCACTAATTAATTTGTTTGAGCACATACAAATTATCCTCAACTTATGTTTGCTTTCCCGAGCTAAAATGTGTCTTCAAACTTTATTGCTTGATTCTTTTGTTACTCCCAATCTTGTTTTTATTATATTACTATTATCTTGTTCTAAAACACTTGTTTATTTCTTTGTGGAGAATAGCATTCAGATATTACAGTTTCAGATTTGTTCTAGGCAGTTTTTGTTCTTTTGTTCACACAAGGCTGAACATTTCTGACAGCTTTCAAAGAAGAGATTGGAATTCATTGAAAAGCAGCATTTTCTGTGATAAAACACAGCACATATTAAAGGTGTGAAGAAAACTCACTAAGGGAAAACTAACCTCAGGTCATGGAAAAATGAGAAATTGCTGACAATTTGCAAGTACACATGGAGAAAACAACATAATTATTTATTTTCTGGGCTTTCT